AGAAAAGTAAGTTGAGAGCAGTGAGAAAATTAGTAGCAGTCAGATGATAGAAGTATACAGTAGTACAAGAGATGAGTCAATGTTTCTCGATATAATAATAATTGCCATTCAGATCAGAAATGGTTATTAATCCATCCCTGAAAAGCATGGCAAGGCAAGAGACACCACTTGTTTACTGATAATATTTTTTTCATGTAAAAAATGACGGTCTTGCCGATGCTCTATACCATTTACGAATGGCCCCCACCCACATCCCGAGGGCCTTTTAAAAGATACTCTATTCTCCTGTTACCTCTTTAATATGGAACCATAAGATAGATGTTTCGAATAGATTACCACTCCATTACCCTACCTAGGTGAGAATGCAGCCTGGCCCTTCCAGACTTCCTTAAGTTCCATGAAACAATCACTCTCCAGAACTTTAAGCACTGAATTAACCCATTATAGAAAGGGACAGAGAAAAAGTGGGAGAAAAGCTGCGTGAGCCTATGGTCACTGGCTGGGATCAACCTAAAGATAGACCTGGGGCATTAAACTATTTTGGACAGTTTCTAGCACATATTGGGAATATACAAAGACGGGAAAATCTCTTTCCCCACCTTTATACATTCATAGGATTCACGTCCTATTACCGCTGTTTTGTCGCCGGGTTTACTACCATCGCTAAACCTCTCCACGCCTTGACGGCAAAGGGTCATAAATTCCATTGGGGAGAGGAGGAGGCCACATTTGTTGCACTCCGGGATGGCTTGGTGAACGCCCCTCCCCTCCGCTGCCCCGACTTTACCTTGCCGTTCGTCCTTGATACAGACGCTAGTAACACCGGAATTGGAGCTGTTCGGTCCCAAGTTGTCAATGGCGTCGAGAGTGTTGTCGCATATGGAAGCAGAGTGCTGTCTCTGGCCTAACAACGGTATTGTGTCACACCCCGGGAACTGTTAGCTATTGTGGTTTTTGTGCAACAGTATCTCCCCTATTTGTATGGTAGACACTTTGAGGTGCGCTCTGACCATGCGTCGCTACAGTACGCCATCTGGCAAACTTTCACGCTGGTTGGAGGTCCTCCAGGACTACCCCTTCAAGGTTACCTATCGCAAAGGCTCCCGTCACACGAACGCTGACGCCCTGTCGCGATTACCAACGAGCGGCGGGTGCGCGTACTTTTCGGGCTCCGGGCGCTGTAAGCCGCCCAACGAGCCCTCGCCCCCTCCCCTTGTGGCATCGGCCGAGGTGACATCTGAGGTGACCCGAGGGTCCGGTGGCACGTGGCGCCATCATTGGGTTAGACCACGAAGAATGGGGGCACCTCCAGGTTGAGGATGCTTCCCTGCTTAAATTGTGACGCCGTGCCGGAGAGACTGATGGGGGCGAGGATCGACTGGGTGTCGCCTCTGTCATTCTCAGAGGCAGAATACTCATGCATTGGGATGGAGGGTTGCACCGTTACAACATTGTTGTGCCCACTGCCCTTCGGGGGTAAGGTCATTTGGGTAGTACACGCGCACCTGTTGCACCTGGGTGTGCATAAGACGCGGACCACATTTAAGTTGGACTTCTTCTGGCCCGACATGGCTGAGGATGTCGCTAATTAGTTGAAGGGGTATATGCAGTGCGCGCGGCGGAAGCCGCCGGCAAATCCCTGTTGTCCACCGTTGCAATCGATTCAGGTTTCCTGCGTAAATGAATTAGTTTATCTGGACATCAATGGTCCATTTCCCACTACCCCTCGTGGGAATAAGTACTTGCTGGTGGGAGTCGAGTATTTTTCATGATGGCCTGTGGCCTGGCTGCTTCCCAACCAATCAGTGGTGACGATCACCAAGGCATTCCTCAATGGCTACGTCATGGACAAGGGTGCTCCCAAACGTCTTCTGACCGATCAGGGCAAACATTTTTCTTCAAAATTGTTGCGAGAGGTGTGCGATTTTTCGGGAACAAAGAAAGTACGCACGTCACCGTACCATCCGCAGACGGATGACATGGTTGAGTGGCTGCACAGGACTCTGTTGAGCCATCAGGTCAGCGAGTCCCAACTCGACTGGGATTTACATATTGCCGGAGTCCTATCTACATATAGGATGGCCCCTCAAGCATCCACCAGCTACTCACCGTTTTTTTATGTACGGAAGAGAACACGACCCCCCAATTGATGTTCAGTTACAAGCCTTGCCCAACAAGGATAAATCTAAAATTTCTAACTCTGTGCGCTTCACCCTTCAAAAGCTTTCCGAAGCGTGGGAAGCTTCCAGGGTTAATTCCGATTCACGCCAATTGGCCAATAAGCGGCTGAGGGGTTTCCGTGCTTTTGCACATAAGTGGGTGCCTGGGGACAGAGCCTGGTTGCAGGGGTGGTCACGTGTCGGGGCGAGATCCTGATAGAGGGTTCGAGAAGGTGGTCGTGGCCAAGGGCGGAGCCAGCCACGACCAGTGAGGATATAAACCGGGTCCCCAGAGGGACCGGGGTTCAGCGTTGCTGTTGTTATCCTGAAGATCGACGTTCTATGTTCTACATCCGAGAAGAGTCACCAACACGTGGACCTGGACCTAAGCCGGGGTCCTGTCCGTTGTAGCTACTCCCAGTGTGATTAGTGTAGTTAGCCTGGTGGTCCACCACCATAAGTTGTTATCTGGTAAAGGGGCAGTTACCTTTTGTGTTGATATCAATAAATGTGTTGCCTCCAAAGAGTACGTCTGCGACTCAGTTGAATCCACTACACATGTAATGTTTTACATATGTGTCCTTTAAAAAAATTGCGCAATTTTTAAACGAGGAATTCACGTGGTTAAACCAGACCAATTTGCGATGTCATACCGTACTGGACACGCATGTCACGTACCGCAGAAAATACTTACACCACATGGAGAGAAATCCCCTCCACCATGTTGAGGGGATTTCCGTCCACGCGGTGGTGTGAAGCTGAACTCGAGAATGTGGAGGGGTTGGACGTGGTAGAGTTGCTTGTGTCCAATGGTTAGAACTGTCAAATGAGGATCTGACGCAGCTGGAACAATAACGTGCAACAATAACGAGCTGAGGAAGAGGCCGATGAAATGATACCACCACCACCACCACGAATATTAACTGGCATTCACTGCTACATACTTTTAGGTTTTTTCGGTAAAGTCACGTAGGTAAAACATAAAAAATAAAATAATAATAGAAATAAAAAATAAATCACGACGTTTCGGAGGCAACACAAGTCTCCGTCTTCAGGTGGGACCGTCACAGCTAAATTTACTGTATCAAGTGAGGAGAAATCCAAGAGACAAGCTCTTAAATACAAGTTAAGGGGGAGGGGGGAGGGGCTTATCTGAATGTGGTAGCCAGGGAATGGAACGGTGGGGGGGAACTAAAAAGGAACAATTGGTGCACCCCAGTCCGGGGTTGCAGCCGATGTTAGCTGACAAATCCAAAATACAAAATGGCAGTACTGTTAAACGCTGGGGGTGTCAACACTTGATACAGTACATCACATGAATGTTGTATACGTCGTAACATTTAATCACGCATTTTTTCCAGTAATGTCTCATCGGAACACAAACTCTGATTTTAACATAATTTATATAGAAAATTGGAGTTTGCTTCAAGTAATTTCGAGTTTAGTAGCATTTCCCCAAGATTGCATCCATTACGGATAGTGGGGCATTTCTGTATTTCAAGGCACGAGAACAAACACAATCATTAGCACGAATGAGTAAAAAAAACAACACGCGGGAGACAGTCATTAACACTGACAAGCAAGATGCTAATTAATGCATTAACACGAACAGCACCGCGGTGGACTTGGTTTGAAGTTCCATATTTATTCGATATTCGCAATAAATCACGTAGACTTCTCACACCGGTCTGGGTGAAACGTCACCCCTGAGTGCTGTAGGTGGCTCTGCGTGCACAACGCATGTGGATGCCGAGAGGGGGCCTATAATAAAAGAACGAGGAAGTGCAGGAAAGTAAAACAAACTAAGAAGAATAAAGGCGGAAGAATAAAGGACGCTGTGCTGGGTGAAAGCTATGATCGGATAAAGCAAGCCGAAAACAACTCAACGGATTCGATGTGCCTTATAGAGAAAGGTTAATACCGCACAGTAGAGGGGCGACATTTCGGCCAAAATAACTTCTCCGTTAACGCCCATCCATCAAGAGCCATCGCCCGATTTCTCGCCGATTATATAATTTGTATTTAAAGGCGCTGTTATTGAGGAATGTGTACAAATTGTTAAGATTAATTGTGCTTGTTGCACCACTGCCAACGCAACAGCAGCAGCAGGTAACTTGAGTAGACACGGAGCTGAGCAGCAAGAGGGGAAGGAGGACGGGTGGAGGAGCGGCGAGACAGTGAGTGACCAAGCTTTGTTTGTCGTCGGGGTTGTTTGACCATACTTCACCACACTGGGCAGTGCGGGTTGGTTTCGGGTGATGGGTGTGGGAGCGCCTAGGTCTGGTTCCCATATCCCCGATGATAGCCGTGGGTGGGAACTCAGGTGTCCGGGTTCGGAGCGCAATGCGCTATCCACTACCGATGCTAGAATTATCCACATTTTTTTCGTGTCAACTCAGAGGCACGTAGACTCACACAGGGATACGGAGACGCACACAGGGACACGTAGACTCACACAGGGACACGTAGACTCACACAGGGACACGTAGACTCACTCAATCAACATTACACGTTCAGAGTGTTTGGCTGCGATACATTTCCACGTGACGAGCCACTTCATTTGTGGACAAGTCGCTTCTGAAAAAGAGTTACATAGCTCAGTGACCCTTACCCGGTAAAATAAAAATCGTTTATAGTTTTACATCGCCCCGTACTGAGAAATCTTGGCAGAACCCTCTTAAAAAGAGTCTTGAGACTCGGGGCGATTTTCCTGGGTAAACGAGCGGAATAATGTGACGTAAGAATCGGTAATCGCAACAAATCGTGAACCACACAGGACTGGAGAGGGTTTAGGGGTGCAGAAAGGTGAGGTGGATGAAGAGGAGTAGGAGGAGTTCTCACGTTCATCACGAAGACGACGAGGGCGCTGAGAGCGAGGAGCGAGATGAGAAGCCACGACCTGAAGATCCGAGATGGAGGAAGACTCTTCGAGTCCATCTTCATCATTCAGCCCCGAGGAGGGAGACGCGGGGACTGCCCGTGCTTCGTCGTAACCTCAATCACTCGCCCCTCCTCCTCCTGCCCCTCGCCCTCCTCCTCCTCGCCCTCCTCCTCCCTCTGTCCCTACACCTGCTACTCCTCGTGCAGCTCCTCCTGCTGATCCTCAACTCTCTTCTCGCCCTGATTCGTTCGTCTCATTCGTACTGTGTTCCAAGGCCGTAATTATAATATATATTGGGACACACACACACACCCCCCCCCCCAATATTGAAATATTCTCAAAATGTCCCCCCCAATATATTGCTATAAAATAGATTTCTGTTTATATGATTGTGGTTATGGTTGTACTTTGTTAATCCCTAATCTCTGCCAATACATACAATGAAACAAGAAAAAAAACAGAGCAATGTAATACAATACACTATTAGACATTATTGTAAAAAATAAATAAAACGTCCATCCTATGTGTTAGTGAATATTGAAGATGTACATTTACGTTTTCTTGTGTGATTGTACACTTTTTTATGAGTTGTTCCACGTAAATACGTAAAAAAAAATGAAACCTCGGCATATGCTATTTTGTGTGAATCTCTTGTACTGTATTAATGATTCTTGCACGAAACTATGTCATAAAACACCTAACTTCTTGTGACTTTTGCACTGCATTTAACTCACCTTCAATTAGTTCGAAATAACTGCTCTGATGCTTTATTTTGTTCTGCTTTCGCTCGCTGGGGTTGTAATCAATTTGAATTTGATACAATGTCTGGAAAATCACGGAGAAATGTATATATTATAATAATTTAGAAGCAAAAATTTTACTTACCTTTTGTTTCAAGTGCTGAAGAAATAAATAAAGACACCAAATATATTTTGTTGCTGCGTAGAATTATTTATTTGATTTTCTTTCAATAAAGAAACGTCAAATTGAAAGCGAATTTGCTTATTTTTTTCATTTCCGCTCGACCTGCAGGAGTGTTAAAATCCACCTGCTCATTATTATTAATGAGGGGGGGGGGGCTGTTCTGCAGTGACGTCACGTACTGCTGCGTCTATTTATTTTTAACCGTCACTTTCTGTAAATAAACGTCTGCGTAGAGTTATTTATTTGAGTAACCTACAATAAAGAAACGTCAAATTTAAAACGAATTCGCGAAACAAAAATGTCTTTCCACTCGACCTTCCTCCGCGTGAGTGTAAAAATCCACCCGCTCATGAATATTTTATTAATAATGACAGGGGGGAGGGGGGGTGCGGCATGTGGAGTGACGTCACGCGCGTTACACATTTCTGGGCTATTATAGTAGTACAGTAGAACCTCGGAGATCGAACACACCAGAACTCGAATAAATCGGTGTTCGAACGATATTTCCGAACATTTTTTTGCCCCGGAAACCGAACGAAATTCGGAGGTCGAACTGGCAATCGCGACTTGAAAGAACCTGTACGGCTGAGACGCGTATGGCCAGCGTGCATGACGCTTGTCCAGACAAAGGTTTTACCATGTGAAAGGCTCAGTTAACGCGTAGGTCTCACCCAGTGCAGACCCGCAAAACATCGTTCCTTAACTTTTTCGTTAATTTCCTTTATTTTAGTGTTTTTGGTGTTTATCCATACACAATGTCTCCTAAGACGGTTAGTGGAAGTGAAGTTCAATGTTCATTTATTTCAATTGTTCCATATATTTATCCATTTATTCCATTAAATTATTGTGTTTCTCTAAGATTTTATGCATATAATTACTGTAAACTTCGTGTGAAAATGCTTTATAATGAGAGATTTCTTGTGTCTGGAACCAATTAATGTCATTTACATGAATTCTTATGGGGAAAATTAAATCGGTGTTCGAACAAATCAGTGTTCGAATGGCCTTCTGGAACGAATTAAGTTCGATCTCGCAGGTACCACTGTAATTCGCTATCACTTCGCGTAGACTTCTCAAACCGGTCTGGGTGAAACGTCACCGCTGAGTGCTGTGCGGTCGCTGGCTCTGCGTGCACAAAGCAGGTGGATGCCCAGAGGGGGACTATAATTAGGCCTCGGCAAGGTAAGGTAATTTACCCTTTTTACCGGGTAAAAGGGTAAAGGTGTAGAGGAGTAGAGGAGAGTAGTGGCGTCGTGTGCGCTGTCCAGAGCGATGACGTCACGGGACGTGGGGTCACGTGCGCGGGACAGTGCACATGACGTCACAGCTCCTGGAGGTTAAAAGGGGGACCCCGTGATGTAAGCGGGGTCGTAGCTGGAGTCAAGGGTCGAGAGAGGGTGAAACGGGGAGCCAGGGTCAAGAGGGTAGGGATAGGGGATATAGCACAGCGCCAGGGCTGGACGTGGCTTTGCTCCCCACGGCCAGCACAGAGGAGACAGCACAGGGCAGCCGGCTGTGTTGGGACCCAGTGTAAACTAGCCCGGGACCCCTAACCCCTGGGAAGTGGTTCACCCCTCCCGTGTGTTGTGTAGCCCTTTAATAAACGGCGGAAGCCCTTAACCTCACCTCCGTCTCTAAGTGAGTCATCGCAAGATACTCAACAAAGGTAAAGTGTAAAGGCGTCGACATGCCAAGGGGTAAGGTAAAGGGTAAGGTAAAGGTAGTGCGGAAGAATTACCCGGTAGGGTAAAGGTAGCGCGAAGTATTACCCGGTAAATATCCTGTTTACCGCTCGCTAAAAGCGCCGTGGCGCAGTCCGTGGCCTCCATTTAAAATTGGAATCATCGAGAGTATTCTATATGAATAAATCACTCTACCTAGCATTTACCTGTTATTAAAGGTAGGCTCGTTGTTTTTACCTTACCTTGCCGAGGCCTAGGTAGTTAGCTGGGTGGCCACGACCCTAAGCTGCATCTGGTGAAGGGGCAGTTACACCTTTGTGTTACGTGTTGATGTTACAAATAAATGTGTAGCCTCTAAAGAACGTCTGAGACTCAGTTGGACTAACTACACATTTGCTAATTGTTATTTCGGATGGCGGTGCGTGGTTGCCTGTCGTAGCATAGCAATTAATATTATTTACGAATATTTTTTATATCAATATATGGGGGGGGGGGGGGACATGTTGAGCATATTTGAATTTGGGGGGGGGTGTGTCCTGTTGGATATATTAAATTAATATTAAGAATAATTCGGCCAATATATATATTTTTATCAACCGCGGTGTAGCACGAGGCACAAACACAAATTGTAACAACCACCCTCACAACAGCGGCCTTTCACACTCCAGAACAAAGAACAGGAGGTGAGCCATACAAGGGTAATAAAAAAAAACACCGCGAGGGAAGGTGGGGGCCATCTGGAGCGAACCTTCCTTTGTTGGCGAGGAAGCCCATTATCACCCCAATAAAGTGAAACAGCACACACCCCGGACGAGGAGCGCCGAAAAAACCCGTTTTTTTCGTTAATAATTGTTTTTTGATGTTCCTTCTAACAACGGTAAAAGTTCAAAACGGGCGACAAAGATTAAGCGAACATTATCCATCCTCACACTCACTCCATTTAAAAACCAGGCTACAATCTACATCAGTGGATCATTACTCCTCATTTATTAATTAAATACTAATGTTATTTTTACCTTTAATAATTTTCTACACGACCTGACCGAAGCATCAAAGAAGAATTCTGGCAGTCAGGGTTGTTCTTAAGCCAAAACGAATTCCCTAATCCCGGGATATCAGATAATAATAATCATAACTCGAGAACAAACAGCACAAACCCAGGATACAGGCAGTGGAATGAAGGTTAGTAAAATCCTATGAATATACGTGGTAATAACAATGCTAAATCACAAATCTTGAATAAAAACAAACCAAATAATAATTACGAAGTATTAGACCAAGGGTCATCCAGAAGAATTAAAAGCGAAATAAGTCAGTCATACCTAACCAAGATGTAATGTACTCCATAGGAAATAAGCCTCCCAACCGTCATTGTCTTCCCGCAGCACGTGATAGTGTAGGGGTGTTAGAGAGAGGGCCCGTTATGCATGGCAGTCTATGGGAAACAAACACAGTGGGCGGGGCTACGTGTGTGCACAGGGAGATGCCCTCTGCGACGTCCGAGCCAGACACCCTGGGGGGGGCTGGTTCGGCGTTACGATCCCCCGGGGCCCCACCCCTCAAGGAGGGGTTGGGTATAAAAGGGGATGTTATAAGGGCTCGGGTCAGTTATGTTATAAGCTAACCAAGAAGACTGAAGACGTCTTAGATAGAGCCCTGGACTCCCCTCGTTCGATGTCCTTATCAGGGCCGGACAGGACAGAGCCAGTGGCGTGGTCCCGAGAGCCAGAGCCGGTGCTCTTGTAAGAGCTGGTCTGGGACTCCGGGTACCGGGCCCGACTTACCAGTGTCGGGCCAGACAGCCTCCCCTAGCCCATTAGTGGAGGACTAAGAGGCAGGCTAGGCTTAGCTAGGAAGTGTATCCTTAGCTAGTCGGGTGAGGGGGCCGATACCCCCTCCAGTGCTGTATGTCACATACGAGCTGTGTTAAATAAATATCCGTGTGCCTCAACCTCGGCGTCAAGTGTCTTCACCGGTACTTCAACTGGTGTCAGAAGTAAAACTCGAACATGGACACGCGGAAGACAGCGCGGGCCAAAGTACCGCAGGAGGAAGATACTGCCGAGATCGTCGAGCCCGAGACGGCTACACAAGCCAGAGTGCAGCCGGGGCCTGATGCCTCCTTACCGGGGCGTCTCAGTGAAGAAGGACCACAGCCAGACGCGTTGCGGCTGGCTCACGGGAGGCTGGCGGAGCTGCTATATGCCGCTGCCGCCACGCTGGAGACCATCACGCGGCTGGGGGCCGGTGATTCAACACGGGGCGAGGCGGGCCAACGACCAGGGCGCCTTCCCGCCATTTCGGAGCAGCCCGAGTTTGAAACTCCCGCCATCGACGCTGCAGCTGTTCGGGGCGTGGCCAGCCTACACATCCACTCCGGCATCGCCGTCGCTGAAGCCGCGACGTCATCACCACCGCGACAGGCGATCCCATCGGCCGCTCGCACCGACGCACAGCCGAGTGGAAGTGACATCTGCCCGCGGGAATCAACAACGACCGCTGCAC